ATACAGTGATTTTAAAAGTTTATTCATTACAGTACAAAAATACAGTCCAATTTTTAATGTGTACCTAAAGATTCACCCAGAATAGCCACCATAACCATTATCTTTAGACAATGATGAAGTAAAACAGTCAGGGAATGCAAGAAAGGTATTGTTTACTGAAACACATAGCCATTTTTTTCTCAAAGCACTGACAATTCTTGTTTCAAATGTCCAATCCTAACACCTTATTTCAGAATGATACGGTTTTGCAGACAAGCCCACAGCTACGTTTGATATACTGACTGATTCTCTTCTGTTTCCTTTTAAAGATAAAGAATGTGTTTAAAACAGAGTGTGAGAATGTGACCACTTCTTGGAAGGCTCTCTTCCTCCTCTGAACAATCTGAGACTCTTTCAAAGTTATTTTTACAGCATAATAATTTCCTATTTTTCCTTGCATATTAGTACTTTCAGTCAACAATCATTTCCTTTGAAAAAAGGATGGTCCTAATGCAAGCACATCACTTATTAGAGAAAATAAATTAAATAGATCGAAAGCCTAAGTCCTGTCCTCAGAAAAACAGCTATGCAAAATACTGTATCCACAAAATAGCTTGAAAAGTAGCATAGGAAAAGGAAGGTGGAGGTGCAGTGGTTGGGGAGACTGGAATATGCCATAGCACTTAATACAGATTTTGAGGGCAGCGTTGTTTAGTCTTAGTAGCCGAGTCATCAAGTTCCTGCTTTTGGATGAAAACAAGCATCCCTGATTTTCTAACTAAAGCAGCTGCAAGATTACGCAAGAGACGGCAGGAAAGACGTACCACAGCATGACAGAATCCAATCTCAGTCCCTTATCTGCACTGCTTCCAGAGGGAATGTAACACCGATTTCTGTACTTGACTAGAAGTCTGTAAGCAACACACACAATTTTCCTACCAAGAATCTGGAAACAGAATCATGGTGTCTTTCCTTTCAATCTTTCCTAACTTCAGTTAACATATCACATCAGACTAGCACATCTACTCTATAAATTTGTTTCCTTCCCACGTTTCTATCTTCAACTGTACCTATCTCATGCTTAGGGATATAAAATGATCAATATACCGGCATGAAAATTAATTTTATTTGCAAAACTATGAAATTGCTGAGGTAGATCTGTGTGCTGATGGGGCCTGCATTTTCAGTGTCATCCTTTAGTAGATTGTCGTGGTTTAGGCCTGGTTGGCAGCCAACCACAACGCAGCACCTCTCTCTCCCTTCCCCTCCAGCAATGAGAAGGGACAGAGAGCCAGGCTTGGGGTTCAAGATAGGACTGGGATGGGGAAAAATCCCCCTTTTATGATCACGAGCAAAAGGCAGACTCGTTAGGGGAAGAAAAAAAGAACATACATTTATTACAGACACTAACAACACATAACAGAGTAGGACAGTGAGCAGAATTGCCACACCTTGAGAACACCTTCCCCCCACCCCTCCCTTCTTCCCGGGCTCAGCTCTGCTCCCGATATCTCTACCTCCTCCCCCAGTGGCGCAGGGGCAGGGAATGGGGGGTGCAGGCAGCGCTGCCACTTTCCTTCATGTTTGGTGGGGGGAGCTTCTGGAACTTGTTCCTCCTGCTCCATCGTGGTCCCCCTCTCACAGGAGACAGTCCTCCACAAACTTTCTCCGACATGAGTTCCTCCCACGGGCCGCAGCGTTCCCCACACTGCTCCGTCATGGGTCACTAACTTCCTCCGACTGGATTCCCTCCCACGGCTGCAGCCCTTCCCGAGCTGCTCCGGCGTGGGACTCCCCCGCATGCTGCAATCCTCCCAGCACTGAATTACAGCAGCGGGGGCTGCCTTTTCCCATGAGACCCCGGCCTTCTTCGGGCACAGAACCTTGATCAGGCAAGCAGGAGCCACAGGCCATAAATCAATGTCTACTCCACCGTAGATCTTCATGGGTGGCGGGGGGGGCTGCCCTGCCGTCTCCCCACAGGATACAGGGGGGTCTCTGCTCCGGCACACCTCCCCCCTCCTTTCTTCCTCCATTCCTCCACTGACCTTGGTGTTCACGCAGCTGCCCCAACTCCTCCTCACAAGTCCCACTGCCCGTCACCACGTCCCTTCTTAAATACGTTATCGCAGAGGCGCAGCCGATGGGCTCAGTTTTGGTGCAGAGGTGGAGCTGACTTGGAGCTGGGGGAGCTTCGAGAAGCTTCTCACAGGGGGCCGCCCCGATAGCCCCCTCCCCTGCTACCAAAAAACTCCACCACTCACTCAACCCAGGACATAGATATTACCAGAATTGAAGTACTACCACTACCACCACCAATAATAATTATTATTATGTAATTATATTGTGCTTTCACCATGAGTACTGAGCAAAAAACAACATTCGCAAAGAGTGCCCAGTAAGTGAACATTTCTGAAACTAGGTTTCAGCAGTCATAAAATTAGTTTTTTAAACATCTAGATAAGAGCACTACCTTTAGAATACTAAACTACACTAAACTTAATTTCTGGCCAAGCAAGCCTGAAAATGTTAGCCTTAAAGGACAACAGAATACTAGGCAAAATTTAGCTTACAATAAAAAAAAAAAAACAGCAACACTTTCCCCAAAAGCCAGAACAAAATATACAGTCCAAAAGAAATCTTTAGATACTACACAACTCAATTTTAGGAAAGCATTTGGTACTCTCATGAAACCTCAAAAATCACTCCATGTGTTAGATATGTGCTGAATGAAAGGTACAAAGACACAAGGACTGTGTAAAGATTCTGAAGCTTTAGGAAAACAGTGAATATTGTAGGGCTGAAGGTAAAACTGGGAAAACTGACAGCACATAAAAGAGTCTTAGGATAAAGGACAAGTAGTAATCTATCTGTATGTGTGGTGCCACAGGAACTGTTGTGACGCCTTGCTTTATTTGACATCATCATTAATCCCTGTGAGGGCACAATGTGGACAACTTTGAGGACACTGAGATACCTCAAAGCAACTTAGTGTGGCTAAACTGCAGTCAGAAAACAGTAAAATGAAATTGAGTATGAGAAAAAGCAAGCTACTGCTATGGAAAAGACAGAGAAATATTCTGGAACTGATTCTGGAATATATTCAGTAGGATGGAAATACCCCACAGGCATCATACTTGTAAAGGATCTAAGGATAACAAGCAAGCAGAAACTACAAATAGACTTGTTGCAGAGTACCAACAAAGAGACCAATTTAGATTTGACTTGCATACTTGGAAGTGCTGTATCCTGGAGCAGGAAGGTGACAGTTTCTCTGTATACAGCTGTAGGGCAGACTGTAGAACACTTTATTTGTGGACAACCAACAAACTCCTTCAAGCCTCTCGGTAGACCAGACATTAATACCCTCAAGTAATTAATTCTGCCCTACAGATGGAGGTCATATGGATGCCTGAAACAATATCTAGACATAAACCATAAATTCTTCATCCATGCTCTTTACAACCACGCCTGGAATTCACCAATGAGTTCTAGGCATATTACATGAGAGTTCTCGGCAAATTGGATGGAATTCACATAAAAATAACAGAAATTCTTTGGGAGTTGGAAAGACTCAAATGGAAAGGTTACAAACCTAAACAAGTGTTACCTTACTTGCTCAAGGTAAGCAAGTAAAAGGTTCAAAATGCTTTTTTCTTAACATTCAGTTTGTTCTGGAAAATTATTTCAAAGAAATAAACCTCAAGAAGGAAAAATAATTATTTGAGGTGATAAAAGGCTATATAAACATACTTAATTAGGAATGGAAAGATTTAGACAATACAGGAAACATATACTGAGTTCTAAACTATAGGTAATTGTCCTAATAGAAAAAAATGGCAGGCATCTGAAACTGCAGCATAATGTATACAGTCATATGTTAAAGGGGCCAATACTGACAGAGATGGACAAAGCATTTAATGGAGCTCTGCCATCCCTAATCTAGTCTTGAAACATTTAAAGTTTACTCTTATGGCAACACTCCTCTCTCTTTTTGGATAACAGATGGCTGTTTGGGATCAACACACTGGACTGAGGCTTCTTTCACTCTGTCTGATGCATGAATGAGGAATGCCTCCAGTAACTCACACTACATGGCAGAAAAAAATACAGCATTTCTGTGATTCATCCACAGAAACTCATTTCACATTTTAAACCAACAAAAATTCAGATAATAACCACATACTTATATATATTTGGCTACATAAGTTATAGGAGACTGATAGAACTCTTGGCAGTTACAGTACTTGAAAATTTTCCATTATGACATCTTTTTAATTACTTACTATTAGAACCATTTGGGCTTACTCTCTTCACGCCAGACATATTTCTCAATGTAGAGTTGCAACTAAATGCTTCAGCTACTTATCAGAACTAGAATATGAAAAATTATGTTTTGCTTGCCTGTTTAAAAACAATTCTTACAACCATTTCCCTGAGCTGCACTGTATGGAATAGAAATCTCAGAGTTTGGTAGGGATTGGTATACATATCTACAATTAAATACACTTAAATTAACCAACCCCACCCAGTCACATATGCTTTCTCCTGGGAAGATGATGGAAGGATCAAGCACATACCATTCCCACAAACAGCATTAATGTACAAATGTGATATGTCATTACACACAATTGTCTCTTTTAAGTCCATACCCAACTTCTACGGTCATTAGACCCAAGCACTAAGCAGTGTTTTTTTAATTACGCTGATTCAGCAGTGCTCCGTATAGAAACAGCTCTAGCACTATTTGATTATCTATGACTTAATCAGTTCATCTTAATCAAATTTCATCTACAAAATTCTCACTGTCATACATCAAATCACTAAACTTCACTCATTACTATACTGTTAACTGTTCCCCAACAATGTGTGTGTTCTTGTTATATCAAACTTAATTCCCTGTGCAATCATATAAACATTTTGCTCTTTATAATAGGTCATTCTCCAAGCATGGGAGGGAACCTCAATCCCTTCCTGACATGTAGAATTCTGTCAGCATGGAACAGATCAGGAATCTCATCTTTAGAATTAAAATTGTTTACTGACCATTTTCTTACATTGTGCATATCCTGCTTCTCAATTAAACACACCTTCTCAATTTAAAAAAAAAAAAAAAAGTGGTATAGTTCTACATTGTTACATGTGTAATTCTTTATTAATTTTACATTTCAGTTTATATAATTTCCTTAAATACTTATGCATTTCCTGTACACATATTCACTGGTAGGTTTTTCTGATACCAGGCAATGGCAAGACCTGAAAATGTTAGAAAAAACATTGTTACTTTCAAAACAAATAAAACATTGAATTAGTTACATTTCAGACAGAAGTTTTGATTGAAAGTCACCAAATGCAAACACAACCCAGGAAACAAAAATGGTCAAAGGCAGCTTTTACATTTTCATATAAACATGTATGTGAATTTGTATACACAATTCATTTACAGATACGAACATACACATAAGGCCACAATACGTGTTGTAACAGGGTTGCATTCTGTGCTAGTCAAGGTTTTCTAAAACAGAAAGCTATACGATATCCATGGAATACAATGTGTTTTGTACAACGATGATGAAAACTCATTTATCCTAATGACTAAATTGTCTGCACCGATTAGAGGAACCCACTATTGAAATGTTAGGGGAACTACATGCAATTCTTCTAGAGTTTTGATCATTGGGTGCAGCTGTGTGTGATAATCATCAAACCTCATATAACCCTTTTCATAATCTCATCAACCTCCATACTAAAACTTGCTAAAATGCTCTGCCTTGCCACTTGCACTGAGAGAAGAAATTAATTCATCCATTGGTTAGAAACTTTCTTTCATGGCAAGTTATTTACCAATTTATAGCTAAACATTCTACACCAACACCATTCTTTGGCTTAAATACCTTTTCTACTTGCTTACTCCAAAGTTACAGATATACTTACAAAGTTCACTTATATTCTCTCATATTTTTCTTTTTCTAGATGAAGCCAACTAATTTTTATCTTCTTGATAAAACAGGCTTTTCACATCTATGATCATTTTCAGTACCTCTATACCTCTTGTGGTTTAAATTCATCCCTCTTGATGACTTAAAAAATAGTCCAAATAAGGTATGACGAAGCTCTTGTATAACCACATTGATATATCACTTGCTTTGACAGAAATAACTCACTTCATGCAGCTTAGGATTGTACTTCTCCTTTAGGACCCGTCATGGGGGTAGATTCATACTACTCAGACTCCCAGATCTTCTGTCATTTCTGATGTTCTCGTTCAGAGCAGAAAATTCTTAGCAATTTTAAAGTACGAAATCTTGTCTTTCATATGCAAGATGTTATGACATTTCTATTATTCCAATCCAAAACACACAATTGCTCCTATATGATTTGCCTGTTCTCCAAACTTAAGGTTAGCAGCAAGTTTTATTTATATACTAAATAGGACTATGCTCAAGACATTAAATGGGTAAACTCTACCTGTAGCCAACTTCCAGTTTTACAGTCCTTCTTTCAACACAATTCACTGTCATTTCCCCTTAGCAATCCTTTATGTTATGCCTTCTACTTAATTTCTCATATGGCACTATACTGAATCCTTTTATGAAGTACAGAATAGATCTACTTTGTTTCCTTTCTCAATAAATTATTTTATCAAAAAAATGCCCAGGTACCCCAACAAAATCTACCTTTACTTCACTAAAGATTTTTCATGTTTTTTTTTCACTTCGACATCTTCACTTATCCTATGTTAGAATTTGTTTCCTATGTCCCGTATACTGCAACCGTTGCACCTAACACTTCCTTGGGCTCTCCTCAAGCACATTTGTTATTTTCCAATCACACGGCACCACTCTTGCTCCGATAGATTTATTAATAGGCTTTGCTAAAAGACTGCTTTGACACTTCTAGTATTTTCATAATTGAGACCCAGGTTAGTTTTCCCATCAGGTTTCTAGTGGCAAGACACTGTTGCTGCAAGGCCATTGATTACATGCGATTGCCCTGGTTCTGACAGAACCTGACTGCCTTACACTTCAGAGCCTATTGCAGAGCCTCTGTCTGTTCACTGAGAATTAAAAAAAAAAAAAAAAAAAAAAAATTAAAATTGCACACAAATCAGGATGTTGAGTATTATTTTCAAAGCACAGTTACCTCCACAAATGAATTCAGCGGCCTAAGCGGCACTTTAAACTAGTCTGCGATCCACAAGTTGCTCAATTCCTTGCTGTTCACATGCTGTCCTTAGATTTTTATCTGATAACATCCAGACAGTGCTTGACTTTCAACTGGTACGATGAGCATCTGTAATGTTGCCTCAAATTCTGGCGTAAGTGGGCCTAACTACCTGCGGTATAAGCAAGGCTTGTCAGGGCTCTCACGTGAGGAATCCTCCTGCGTACCTTGCCTACAATGTCCGGTCTAATAACCATTCTTAAAACATGAAAAACCATCAGAAATTAATCTTTCCTAATATTTTGCACAGGTGCATTAGTACATCCATTAACCTCCTGTTAAGGCACTCATGCGTGAAATGCGGATCTGTTTTCAAATCCCAGATCTACTGGGCTTGGAAGAAAGAGCTGGCTTTTCTTGTGGTTTTTTTTTGTTTGTTTGGTTGGTTGGTTTGGTTTTTTTCTGTTTGTTTGGTTGGTTGTTTTTATCTCCCAAATCAGATAATGGCTGTACTTGCTTAGGTACCTAACTCTAGGAGAAGACTCCAAACTGAGAATCTTGAGAGAAGACTTCAGCCTTACTTCTTTGGGCAAGGGAAAAATCAGTTTACACTTCCTCAGCATTTCTAGGCAGCTGCTCATCCAGTGTACTCACTTTTGCGGATCAGGAGGACCTATTCTTGCGCTGGGTGTTTAGGGAGCCTTAGAGCCTGACATGAGACTATGGATTCTCAGATGTGTCGAAGTATGCACAGGTTTGGCAGTCCAAAATTACACAGCGTAGCACCAAGTATTTTAATCTGAAGATTTAGACCTTTTTGATTCACTTAGTGGGGCACACTGGGAAATAAACTTCCTGTGGAATGTAGACAGTCTGACCCTCTAGGTCAGGATACCAACCGGGTGGACCACACATTACTCTTGACCCATGGGTGCCCAGGATTTTTTATCTGCAGAAACCATGTTTCTGTCACCTGAAAAATCAACGCCTGAGAATATGTGGGCCACACTCAGCCCTCATTCTGAAATACAGTTTGGATAAATCCAGGAGATCCCCAGACTGAGAGAGCACTCCAAGATTTCAGACCATAGAGCTCAGAAATAACGGAACAGCCTGGAAATCAACAGGAATTCAAACAAGGATACCCATCAGTTTTGCAGTTAAGATGTACTGTTCAAAATTTTACCATTGTGTTATAGTCTAAACTTTTATCATCAAATTCTGCTGCATTCTGCTACTATAATAACTTGGAAAGTATTTGAAAAATGTGGCTTTTCCCTGCCCCCATCATGTTTAGTTGCTAGATGACTGTGTCTTCATATTTGCATTTATACATTTTTGTGAACTGCAGATATAATTTTGTGACCATTTTTTTTAAGTAAGGTACATAGAATGGATTAGGAGAAAGAAAAAACTGATGTGCCTTTTGTTAAAAAAAAAAAACTATATTGATTTTACTCTATAGAGAAATTCTAACTTTTAAGACAGTCACCAGTTATGGTGATAACTAATAGAACTAATACATTTTTATTGTACAGCTGTTTAACTGTGCATGATTAGAAGCAGTTACATATTCAAGCTTGATTATTTTCATGCAAATGCATGGCTAGCTAATGGGGAGAACAGCTGCTGCTTAGCAACTGGAGGAACAGAGAAAGGGGGTGACTCGCTTTATAACAGAAAACGGGATGAAACCTTAGAAAGAGTACATACAGAGTTTGTAGATACCAGGGAAATTGGGTGGTAGTGCTCTCTCACCAGGATGTTTCGTTTTGCAATTATTGACATCCTAGGATGGCAGCATTTTCAGGTAACAAATTACAAGAAAATTTACATACAGTAGGTGCATACACTACAAGAAAATGTACATATGGTAGATGCATACACATATGTCCATGAGCAACAAATAAAACAAGCGCTAACAACAAACCCTGACACACAAGCTGAAATGTAGGAAATTCAGAAATAGGCTTTGTGTCTGTCATCTACTGTAACGGTTAATCTGACTTTTAGACTTCAGCAACTTAAACTAGTGATCAGCTTAAACTACCACAAACCAACTGCTGGAAAAAAAGCGTTCTCTTTCTTTCTGCTGCTCAAACTCAGCCCCTGCACTGCCTCCTCCACTGTGTGAGCACATGCTTTCACATACCTACATAATGAGGCAGATCAGGGACCTAATCTAAGTTAAAACTAACCCATATTTTTTAGTTGGATCACTTTTACCTGGATCAGTTTCCAAATCCAGGTTGTTATGCAGCTATTCAAATGCTTGCACTGATATGAGGAGGGCAGGGGACCTCCCATGACAGTGCTGACTCAAACCTTTCCTGAAAATATATTCTTACCTTGGTGTGACTCTGCAGACTAACTTATTGACTTGACTGCAAGAAGAATACGGAAGCACAGGCGTGCTCTAAGAAACTGAAACTGAAAAGGTACAGCTCAGAAAGCATGTGAGTTCCACATAAATGTCTGCATGGAGGAAACTCAATTTTTTTTCAGAAACATTCACCACTTTCAGAAATCAAATTAATACCTCATATGAACAGGAAACTGACTCTCAGTTAGGTATCAACTGTTCTTGTCTCAGTCCTACTGCCTTCCGTTTGCAACAGTTCTTCCAATTCAAAGCATGGTTCTCTCTGATTTAATAATGTAAAATTTTTTGTAATGAAATAGAAGACTCTGAATGACGTGCCTTAGTGAATCCTGCTTTATGCTTCTATAAAGTTAGTTATTCCAGCTATCTACACTATTTTATTGTGGGCAATTGCTTTCTCTTCAGAACTACCAGATATGAACTTGTGCCTACACCTCACACACTCATTTAGAAGAAGCCAGAATCCTCCAGTAGTTTAAATCAGTGTCCCGGATTATGCACTAATCCAGCTGAGGTGCAGACACACATCATGTTCTGCTGCTTATGTATATGACAACAGAATATAGTAGTGGACTGCTGATGTCATAGTATCTTAAACTCAGGAAGGGACACCAGAGCACATCTGCCAGCGTTCAAAGACGTTAAGCTGTCAATGAAATGAACAGTGATGGGAAGATCCGATGCTCAAGAAGTTAAGATTGTCATGTGAACAGAAAGACAACAGAGCACAGAATGCTGTAACGCAAGAACAGAGCAACGTCCCTACCAAAATCCTATGGAAATGAGGGAAATGCATTAGTTAAGCAACAGTAGAGAACACAAATAACAAGAGCTAGAGATGCTATTTGTTAACATGTTCCACCAGTAACCTTCTACTCATTTATTAGCTTCTGTGAAATTTAAGCATGCTTAAGAGTATTCCCGCAGTTCCAAAGGTTTTCCAAATATTAGCCTTACAAATGTAAATAACTGTCAAAAAATTAAAGTTGTAGCTCAGTTATTCTTTAGATACAATGAAAATAGTTTGGGTTTCAGCCCTATTTCAACTACTTCTGTGACGCAAGATTTCTTGATGACTAGGTAGTTTGACTTTTTTTATTTTGTTTGCATCAAAATGACTTTAAAGAGGAAAACAGATGTGAGCTAGAGAAAACAAACAGCTTACAAAGAAAGAGTAGGAAACCAGTTACCCTTGAGTAGACAGGCAAGCTTCCTGTTCATTACAATGAAAAAATGAAGGGTAGCAACTGCCTGACCTGTCTTTTGTTCAAATCTAAAACCAAAACATATGTAAGCAAAATGCGAAACATATGTTTTACATATTGGACTTTTGTCAGATTTTATAGATTTGTACGTTTGTCTCATACCATCCAGTCTTGCACGCATATGTAACAATATCATTCTAAGTATATGTAAGAATATTTGGCCTTTTTATAGGCTGATCTTCCACACTGCCAAGTCTTTCGATATTTGGTGTCGTTTTTTTTGCCCCAAATCCTCCGCTCCGAGACAAAGAGACTGCAACGGGAATCCCAACTCAAGGTTTTTGTTACCATTTTAAACGAAAACCTGCACGAGCGCGCCGGAAAACGCAAAATAAACTCTCCTAAAGGGCCAAAGAAGAGAAACCCAACCCCTGGTAAATTTCACCCAAATGAACGCCGGGGAGCAGGCAGGCACCTCGCTCTCAGGGCCCGCTGCCTCCCAGTTACGGCCGGTCTCCCAGGGGCTGTCTCGCCCGCCCCCGCGGGGGCTGGAGCAGGGAGCCGGCTCCCTCAGCCCCACCGGGAGACGCCTGCCCTCCACTCCCCGGGTCGCAGGGAGGCAACGAGCCTCCATGACGGAGAAGGGCGGGCGGCCGGTGGCCCGGGGGGGGGGAGCGGGGAGGGGAAGGGGCGGCCCGGCTGAGGGGCGGGGGGGGGGGCAGCCCCCGCCGCTCCGCCGCAGCGCGCCCGGCCCCGCCCCGCCGCCACCCGCGCGCTCGGCAACGGCACCAACCGCCGCCGCCCTTCTCCAGACCCCCCCCCCCCCCCCCCCCCCAACGGCGGCACGCCGCGCGCAGGGACCGTTACAACCGAAGGGGGCGCAGGCTTCGGCGGAAGCGCTCCCTCAGAGCGCCGCTACGCCCGCTCCCCGCCGCCGCAACGACGGCGGCTGCGGCAGAAGGTTTCCCCGTCTCCCGCCTCCTTCCCTGCCGCCCCCGCTTTTCTTTATTTATTTTTTTTTTTGTTGTTGTTGGCCCCCGCAGCGTGCGGAGACTCACCTTCCCGCAGCGGGGCGGCGCGGCATCCAAAATGGCGGCCGACCCAGCTTAACCCCATCGTGTCCCAGCAGCGCTCCCTCCCCGCCCCATCCGTGGACTCGGGATTCCGCAGCCTCGTCCCAGACCGCGCGGCCGATCGCCGAATCACCGAGCTTACCCCCCCACACACACACACATTCCCCCCCGCTAACAAGAGGGAGAAGGGCAGCAGTGGGAAGTTTTCCCCCCCCCACTCCCACGCGCACTCGCGCCCCGTCTTTCGGGCTGGAGGGGCGGGCGGGCGCGTGCCGAGGAGTGACACAACCCAGCCGCTCGCCGCCTCCCCCGCAACGCACGGCCCGTCCGCCTTCCCCCGTTCCCCATAATGGTTGCGTCCGTGACATCATCATCATGGCAACAACAGCCGCAGCCCGGAGCCGGGGAGCCGCCGCCGCCGCCGCCGCGGTGCCCGTGGTGCTGCGGGGGGACGGGCCCGCGCTCGCGCCGCCCGTGAGGCGCTCGCGGCCGGCCGCGCGCTAGAGCCCGCGGGGCGCCCCGGCGGGGCGCGCGCGCGCGCCCGTGCGTGCGTGCCGCGCACGCGCCCGGAGGAGGGGAGGGGAGGGGAGAGGAGGGGGTTGTTAGGGAAGAGCGAGAGCAGCGGACAGAGAAGGGCGCGTGCCCGCGCGCGAGGCTCTGTGCGCGCGTGCGTGTGCGTGCGCGCGCGGGCGGGCGGGCGGGCGAGGAGCGGCAGGCGGGGGGCTGCGCTCGCTCGCGCGCTGCGGCGGCGGCGGCGGCGGGCGCGGGGGGGGGGGGAGCGAGCCGTGCGGGCTCCGCGCTCGCGCTCCCTCAGTGCGCGCCTCGGCGGCGGCCAACAACATGTTCTCAGTGCGGATCGTGACTGCCGACTACTACATGGGCAGCCCGCTGCCCGGCCTGGACCCCTGCCAGTCCCGCTTCCGAGACGCCCCGACCAGGCGGGTGCCCGTCGTCAGAGTCTTCGGCGCCACCCCTGCAGGTAAGGGGACCCCCCCCCCCCTCCCCGCCGCCGGCCGGCCGGGCGGGCGGGGACGGCCCCGCCGCGGCTCGGGTCCTGCTGCCGCCGGGCCCACCACCGCCCCCCCCCCCCCCTCCTTCAATCTCCCTTCTCCCCGCGGCGGAGGCAGCGGCAGCTCCTGCTCTTTGTGGCTGGGTCGCGCCCCCCCCCCCCCCCCCCCTTTTCCCCACCCGCCGCTGCGGCGCGTCTCACCTGCCAGCGGCGGCTGCGAGGGAGCGCGCCGGGCCCAGCCGGCCCCCGGAGCCGCGGGGAAGGGGGGTACCTGCCCCGGGTGTCCCCGCGGGGGAGCCCGGCAGCCGCCGCCGGAGGTGCCGTGGCGTGGCGTGGCGTGGCGCGTCCCGCCCGCTCACCCCCCCCTCCCCTCCCCTCCCCGGGGCCGGCGGCGGTGCGGGGGCCGCGGGGCTGGGCCGCAGGTGCGGGCCGGGGCTTTGTGCGCGGCGGGGGCTGCCCCGAGCGAGCGGCGGCAGCTGTGCAAACAGCGGGGGCAGCCGCCCGCCCCGCTCCGCGGCCCCCCAGCACCCCCCGACCCCCCCCCAGAAAGGGCAGGCGGGCGGGTGCGGGCACGGGGGGTGAGGGCGGCGCGCCTGGAGGTGTGTTTCTGCGGGGCGAATAGCGAAAGGGTGGGCGTACGGGGGGGGGGAACCTTCGGACGCAGTCGCAAGTGAGACTTGTGCAGTACTTACAAAGTAGGGGCTTTATGTGGCTCCTGCGCTGGCGTGGTGCAGGTCGCGCAAGACGGTAAGGCATCGGTGCTGCAGTGCAGGAGGGAACGTCCTGACCGCGGGCCACATGTTGCCCCCTGAGACTTCCTAATGTCACATCCCACTTCTTCGTCGCCTCTTCTCTGCGGACCCGCGGTTGTAGTCTTCCCGCATCTCAAGTATGTTTTTGACCATCGGAGCGAATTTCTAACAAATTTAGTGTTTAGGAAATTAACGTTTATTGTCCTTTACCCATATATTAAGTTGGGAAAAAGGCCGCGCTCTTTGAGATGTTAGACATGTTAAGCATCCTTGCTTGTAATCCCTTTAAATGTATGTTGTGTCGTGCTGACCTTGGGAATTACAGTATTTCTGCGTATTTTATTGACTTACATGTTGAAAATCAGGTATTGGTATATACATTCAATTTTAGAAAAGACAAAAAGCACATAATAAAAACAGCGGTATCTTTCCCTTCACCCAGTGATTATAGTAGAGTGGGTTTTTTTGTTGGAGTTTTTTTGTGGTTTTTCTTTTTTTGTTTTAGAATTATCTGTCTGTTCTCTATTTAGGCACAAAGGAATGTGAGATTTTAAAGCTGTTGTGATCTGGTGCATCTACAGCTCAAAATTATTAAGTGGATGAGTGGGATTAATAGATAAAATATTGAAATAGAAGGAACCTATTTTATTGTAGTTCTAATTTTGCATACAAAGGAGATATTATGTAATAATATTTATGTAATGGCATGAGTAACTATTTCATTATTAAAAAATGTAGAGCCTGAGGTTGTCTGGCAGGTAGCAGGCTTTCTGTGCGTGCGTGTGGTTAACTCATTAAGGCTTATTTTCTTTTGAGAAAATGTTTAGGCTATGCCGTATCATGAATGTGGCATCATAAAGTAAACAGAGAAGTAGTTTAGTTGTCCAGCGATTAGGAATAGAGTAGGAAATCCCTGTCTTCCCAAACTATAAACTTTAACGTTACTTTGCATAATAGAAGTGTTTCTAATTTGTTTTGGTTAGAGAAGACACTTCACTATAGTCTGCAAAGGAAGTGTGACTTGGCTATCTTCTATTTATTTCCTTGTTAAACTTTTTAATGGCTTTTTCTGCTTTACATGCCATTAGTAATGTTTGCTAATAAGCCTCAAGAGCTTGTGACATCTCTGCGTTATTTTTTATTTTTTTTAAAAAAGGAGACAAGTGTAATTCTGTCTCTTCTCAGAGGTGTTTGACCTAAGCAGTCATTGTCAGAACTAACGTTTGTGACTACAGAGAGAGGGCTATTCAGTTATTTACTTGAGAGTTGAAATATAAACCGAAATTAAGTATGATCACTTGCATCTACATTGACATTTTATTGTCAGTGTAGATGAAATGTAGATGGAAAAAGAAGTAGTAAAACCAGCTTCTAATAGGAGGTTTGCTTATTGTTTGGCTTACATGCAGTCTGATGCTTGTCTTCTCTTGAGTTGGTCTGGATAGGAATAACCCTTTCGCATTGGGTTTAACGTGTGTGTCTTGCCAGTGGGAAGGGTGCTCAGTTGCCATGCTGCCTACATAACAGCAAACCACTATGTATGGGCTGCTTCACCTCCAGCATGATCAGCTCTGCACGAATCTTGGTATGTTCAAAGCTGTGTGTCCGTGCTGTGCAGCTAATTGGGAGTCAGGTTCAGAACAGACTCCAAATTTCACCGGCTGAGTGAAGGAGGATTGATTGGTATGTGGAAGTGGCTTGTATGCAGATGTTCCGAAAGTCAGACATCTAGCAGCACTGTATCTCGGGTCTAGTATCCGCTGTGGACATTGGTTCTGAGGGCATCTACCTGCACCTTCTGCTGCTTCTTCTGGAGGTACTGTGCTCCGTGAGGTCTAGGAATGACAAGGGTTGCCAGTGTTCTTATCTTTGAGGGCATTTATTTAATCCCGTGCTCAACAATTGATTTGTAAAGGTTTGCTGGTACGATCTGTAAAATTAAAGTGGCTTGTGGTATGGCTGTTGAGGGACGTAAAAACCAGACTTTTAATTAAAAATAATGAAAGGATGAACTTCTAGAATGGACTGTGTTGGCAATAACGTTTGACAACTTCTTCAGGTTTTTTTGAGGAAGAGATCTCATTCTGTTTGACAAGAGTGTGCGAGTCATCTCTTGATGTCTTACATCTGTGCGTAATAAGAGCTTGAAAGGCAAGGAATCAAAATTTTGTTTAAGCCCAAAGATCCACCTATTATTTTCTGGTTTTCTATGAAATACAAAGAGTAAAATTCTGACTACAACAGCAAAAGGTGAAGTGAAGCATGACTAGTTTTTATGTTTGAACGCATCTTAGCTGGTTGAGCCATTTCACTCCATTTTAGCCATTTGGTGCTTGAAGCGCACTGGCATGTCTTTTGACATAGTGACTTGGACAAAAGTATGATTTCAGAAATGCTACCGTGCTGCCATGGTGGTAATACAATGAAAGCAGTGTTAAATTCATGCTTTGTCGTATAAGATCATAGATATTATTTGACATAGTATTCTTTTTATCTCTAAAGGAGTCCTGTAAATTGCTGCTTATATTTAAAAGCAATAGGTTTTAATTCATTAATGCTCAACTATGAAACAAAATTTAATTATCTTCTCAGGCAGGATTTCTCTTCTGCTAGCTAACAATTTTTGTAAATGCTTTTTATAAAAAAAAAAAAAAACAACACAAGCCAAAACAAAAAACTTTGAGAAATTGCAAGGCCTGTTTATTAGAGCGAAATCGTAATGAAAATTGATTTTTCTGTTTACATATGGTCTTTTGTTTAATTGGTAATTCTCGAATTGTCATTCTTGTTGCTAAGTTGTGGTATATGGAGTTAGAAAAGTTTTGATTTATTTTGTTCTAGCTTTTGGCCATTTCAAGCTCTTGGAGTCTTTCCTCGAGATTTCACTGACCACTTCTAAATAAACATGTGAATGCTCAGTTGGGTGTTTCTGTCAGGTGCTTATTCAGCTGCAAGAAGACAGAACCAAACTGTAAATCCATCCATAAAGAAATCAGGGTGAGACTACATGTCATGTTAGGAGAGACATTAACAGACGAGCCGAGGTTGCTAAATTACTGCTTCACTTAACAAGACCGAGTGCAAGCAGCCAACAACACTAATAGTAAACCACATACAAGATACCTGTTGGTGTTTGGTAATGAGTACTGTGAAACAGTTGGAATGTTTTTAATACTCAGAATTTTGATTTGGGTGTAATTTGAGGCTGATATACGTGATAAATTTTACAGAAATAGGTACACATTTTAAAATTGCTTTTGAAGGGTGTGAGGCTGAGAAAAGTGTGTTCAATTGACAAGAGGGTCTTTAGAAAAGGCAGATTAGGAATTTACCTAGGAAA